GGGGGAAACTGGGAAGTTTTACACTATTACTAAAACATACTCGATGCTTTTAAGTAGTTTAAACTAAATATTTGTGAATATTCAAATGGTGGTTTATGATAGTTACAGAAGATGATAGTTACAGAAGTTGCTGAATCTTTCTGGAAAGACTGCTAGCAATCTGAGAATGTCTTAGGCCACTTGCTACTGCCTGAAACCATCTAAAAGTGGTAAGGTCTGTAGGTTTCAAGTAGTATCAGGTGGTCTAAGACATTTTGAGGTTACCAGCAGTCTTTCTCTTGGGCATTTTGTTGTATTGGACAATTTTTTTTTCTTCTAAAATTTGGAATTAGATTAAGCAGACACCGGGCTGTGGTGGCGCACACCTGTAATCCCAGCACTGGGGATGCTGAGGCAGGAGGATCATTGCGAGTTTGAGACCAGCCTGGGATACAAAGTGAGCTCAAGGCCATCCTGCACTGCATAGCAAGACCCTGTCTCAAAAAGACAAAAAAAAAAAAGAATTAAGCAGTTGTCCTAAAAGAGGAGAGGAGGAGGAATTCTGGGAACAGCAATAATTTTTTTTACATTGTTTTGAGTTGGTGTCTAGTACAAAGGTCAATGGATAGAGAAACTGGTATCAAAGAAAATAACAGTTTGTTTCGGGATTTTTCAGGAAGGTTTAGCAGTTCCCTTAGGAGCTACTACATGGCAGGTTCTTTCTGTGTACAGCGGCCTGGCCAGCTGGTGCCTTTTCCTTAGAGTATCTGGACGGGTCCATATGGTGGCAGAGTCCAGCACACTCAGATGCTCCGGAATCTGGCGTTGGTGATGGTTACGGTTGCACTGCTCTCCAGGCCACCGTAGAATACAGTTGGACCCTTAGTAGCAGAATAGAGGTAGTTTGTGGGAGGAGGAAACCTCAGGCAGGGAGGGGACTGGTCTTTCATCCTCTCCCGTCTCCCTGCAGAGCCCCTACTACAGAGGAAGACAAGAAGGCAGCTGAGAAGAAGCGGGAGGACAAAGCCAAGAAGAAGCATGATAGGAAATCCAAGCGCCTGGATGAAGAGGAGGAGGACAACGAAGGCGGGGAGTGGGAAAGGGTCCGCGGCGGAGTGCCCCTCGTGAAGGTGAGGGCTTCAGGGCGGCGCTGAGCTGGGAAGCAGTTCGGTACAGCACACCTGTGCCCAGCTGGTCAGAGTGGGGAAAGGCAAGAACGGCTCCTGCGGGCAGTGCCTGACAGGCTCTGTGTTACTCTAGGAAAAGCCAAAAATGTTTGCCAAGGGGACCGAGATCACCCACACGGTTGTCATCAAGAAACTGAACGAGATCCTTCAGGCACGAGGCAAGAAGGGAACCGATCGGTGAGATTCAGGGGCCCGGGCCGGGAGGTTAGAGGGTCAGCGCTCTTTCTCACAGTGAGTGCGAGGGGAGAGCGTGCAGCAGGGGCCAGTGCTGTTGGGGAGAAGGCGTGGCTGTGGCGGAGGAGCTGTGTGCTTGGGACATGCCTGTCCACTTTCTGCAGTTCCTTCTCTGTGTGACCTTGAACTAGTCACTTGGGCTTTCGGAACAGTTTTGCCATCTAAAATGAGCATGATGTTCACCATTAGTTACTAAGTGGCCGAAGGGGGTGGTGGTATGAAAGCATTTTGCAGCCCTCCGGGGTTGTTAGCATTACTGCCTTTTGTGTTGGGGAGGTAGAGGAGATGCGGGTGTACAGGTGGTGAGTGTCGGGGAATCAAGACTGGGCTTCCTTGCTTGAAGAGGGCATCTGAGGGCGTGCTCTGTGACAAGGTGAGACTTTCTGATTGGTCTCCAAAGTCTCACCCGGTTCGTTCCCCTCCAGTGCCTCCCAGATTGAGCTGCTACAGTTGCTGGTCCAGATTGCTGCTGAAAACAACCTGGGGGAGGGCGTCATCGTCAAGATCAAGTTCAATATCATTGCCTCTCTCTATGACTACAACCCCAATCTGGCCACATACATGAAGGTGAGGGCAGTGAAGAGGGTTATGGGAGACGAGTTGATGGGTCGGGGGAGGGTGCGTGGTGTCTTAAAACTCGGGCTGTGTTGCACAGTCCTGGTAGTTGAATGCCCTACGGATTCCTGGCGGAGGGGCTCTCGGCAGGCATCTACTTACTCCACCCCTGCCCTTGTGACTTTGCTGTCTGACCTCTTGGCAGCCAGAGATGTGGCAGAAGTGCCTGGACTGCATCAATGAGCTGATGGACATCTTGTTTGCAAATCCCAACATCTTCGTTGGCGAGAACATTCTGGAAGAGAGTGAGAACCTGCAAAATTTCGACCAGGTGAAGGGAGAAGTGGGCAAGATGATGGGAGGCATACGTCGTTGGCTTTGGGAAGGCGCAGTGGAACCAGGAGGGTTAGGACAGAAGCCTGGGCCGCTGTGTTTATTCCTCCTTTGCTTTACTCTTCAGCCTCTGCGTGTCCGGGGCTGTATCCTAACTCTGGTGGAACGAATGGATGAAGAATTTACCAAAATAATGCAGAACACCGACCCTCACTCCCAAGGTAAGCCTTTGCCCAGCGCTTGCACAGGGGAATGGGCGAGGTGCTGGGCCGCACTCCCGCTGCGTCTGATTCTGGAGTCTAGGGAGGGTTGGGAATTGCGTCTGATGTGCTCCAGGGTTACACTGCTGGTCTGAAGATCGTTTTGGGTTAAGGCCTCTTCTTACCTTGGTTTTTAGTTTGGGTCAGAGGCACTGGGGTGGAAAGTATCCCATCGTTTACTCAGTACCGGTGAACGTGCTGGCTAAGTCGAGTGTAGCGACGAATGAGGCAGCCAAAGAGCTCATTGCTCGTGGAGCTTCCCTTTGGAGAAAGGCAGTCCAACAAACCACTGCAAGGAAAGAAAGTAATTTTAGGGCCAGCAGTGTAGCCCAGTGATAGAACCGTTGGCTAGAATGGCTGAGTCCCTGGTTTCAATCCCACGTTCCACCCAAAAAAAGGAGTGGCGGGGAGATAATTTTAGTTAATGTGAGGTGTGAATTAGACATTAAAGTAGGGCCCTGAGATAGAAAGTGACTGGAGCGGTGCACGCTTTAGAGAGGGTAGAAAGCATCTGTAGCTGAGATCCAAGGAGAGTCAGCTGGGAAGAACCTGCAGAAGAGAACATCTCACGGAAGGAGCGGGAAGTGAGCTGGGCATGTTCTAGGGATACAGACTAGGGAGAGCCATAGGCGGTGAGGCAAGTACCAGACTTTACTGGCTGCTGAGGGCCAAGGCCGGTAGGTAGCATTGTTTCCTAAGTCATAGCACAGCAGGGTTGTACATCCTGGGGAGAAGATGGTGTTTTCAGGGCACGGTGAATGCTTGTCAGATGAGTGAAGAAAACAAACCGAGGTGACTGGGTTGAGTGGGGACGGGCTTAGGAAAGGCCAGAGACCCACTGAGATCACGGCGGGTGCTCTCGCGGCCAGAGTACGTGGAACACCTGAAGGATGAGGCGCAGGTGTGCGCCATCATCGAGCGAGTGCAGCGCTACCTGGAGGAGAAGGGCACCACCGAGGAGGTCTGCCGCATCTACCTGAGACGCGTCCTGCACACCTACTACAAGTTCGATTACAAGGCCCACCAGCGGCAGCTCACCCCGCCCGAAGGGTCCTCAAAGGTGAGTCCTAGTAGTCAGAGTGGTTAGAGATGTGTGCCTCTGTCCTACGTGGTTGTTAGGACTTGAGGCAAATCTGTTTCCTGGACATAGAACTTCCTGAGGGGCACACGAAGGGAAATGGGTTAGAATCCGCTTGAATAAAGTAGCAGTTTTGGTTGTGCCTGAGCCTTTTAAAACTATTGTTCCTAAATTAAATAGATAAGTGAAAAGTCAACCAACCATTGTCCTTGCCAGTATCGATCTCCAACAACTTTCCTTTTCCCCAGTCCGAGCAAGACCAGGCAGAAAATGAGGGTGAGGACTCGGCTGTGCTGATGGAGAGGCTGTGTAAGTACATCTATGCCAAGGACCGCACAGACCGGATCCGCACGTGCGCCATCCTCTGCCACATCTACCATCATGCCCTGCACTCCCGCTGGTACCAGGCCCGCGATCTCATGCTCATGAGCCACCTCCAAGACAACATTCAGCACGCAGACCCGCCGGTGCAGGTAAGCTGAGCAGCCAGGCCATGTCCTCATTTGGACAGACCGGCTCGACTGGAATGGCCACCTGTCTGGCTAGTGCAGGTCTAAAGAGATGGCTTAATTTTTCCCCAGATGCCAGCATTCTTTTGTTCTCTTCCACATTAGCACATTTAGTGCTCCCGTAATAGTATTCAGATCGCGTGAGACAGACAGAGATTCTGGTTCAGCCAGCGTCGGTTTTACCTACTGTGTGTCTGTTTCAGAACATTCAGAGATTGTCTTGCTTATAAAGCTGAAAGAGAACCTTGAGAAAGCTACTAAATGAGGGAGGATGGGGACCAAATGTAGTGGGACACCACGTAACTAACAGCGAGTTTGGTGTGTAGCAGTATGGTGAGAATTTTACATAGGGGAAGTACTGAAGCTACCTCTGAGCTATAAATCCTCTTACTATGTGTATAAGACAGTTGGGAAATAGGTAGAACACTTAGTGAATCTGTGGTGATAGTAGTTTTTAAACAGCCCTACTATTCTCATATTTTGTTTCATGAAATGACCAGTCAACTCTTGCCCATTTTTTAAATTGAAATTTTGGGGGTTCTGTTGACTTGTGGGAGTTCTTTATCCATCCTAGATAACCAGTTCTTTGTCAGATACGTGTTGTGCAAATATTTCTTTCCAGTATGTGGTTTGCCTATTCACTTTCTCAACTTTTGGTGGAATCTAATTATCTTTTTTCTTTTCTCTTTTCTGTGGTAGTGGGGATCAAACCCAGGATTTCATGCATGCTAGGCAAGTGGTCTGCCACTGAACCTCACCCGCTAGCCCTTTAAATTTCGAAACTAGTGGTGCAGAATTGCCCAAACTGACCTCAAACTTGGGATCCTCCTGGCTCAGTCTCCCATGAAGTTGAGATAATGGGCATGTGCCACCACACCTGGCTTCAGTTTCTTCTAATATAGTTACTATTTTCTGGGTTCTGTCAAAAAAAATCTTTGTTTACTTACAAATCATGAAAGTATTCTCTTTTTTTTCTTGTAAGTTTGTATGATTTTAGCTTTTACATTTTAACTTAAAATTCATCCTGCTTTAATTTTGAGTGTGGTGTGAGGTTGGGATCAGTGTCATTTGTATCAGTTACTTTCTTTCCTACATTGTTTTGGTTCCATTGGCTGTGGTGGTGCACACCTGTAAGCTGCAAGTTCCAGAGCAGACTGGGAGCCGGGCATGGTGGCACACGCCTATAATTCCAGCACTCAGAAGGTTGAGGCAGGAGGATCGTTGCAAGTTCAAGACCAGTCTGGGATACCAAGTGAGCTCAAGGCAGCCTGAACTGCATAGGGAGACCCTGTCTCAAAAAAGAAAAAAAAAAAAAAAAAAAAAACCAGCCTAGGCTATAATAGCGATACCCTGTTTCAAAAAATCAAAAAGAAAGAAGACACTGCATGGAAAAAACACAGAACTCTGTAAGAATAGGAGTATTCTACTTTTTTTTCTTTTTGTCTGTTCTTGTGCTAATCCCACACTGTTTTGATTGTTCTGCCTTTGTATAGTAGTAAGTTTTGTTTTGTTTTGTTTTGTTTTTTGGTACCTGGAATTGAGCTCAGGATCTTGCGCTTGCCAGGCAGGTGCTGTGCCACTGAGGTATATCCCCGGCCGCAGTAAGTCTTAAATTCAGGCAGTATGGGTCTTCCGGCTCTGTTCTTTCTCAAGATTGCTTTGGATAGATATCTAGACCCTTTGAATTTCCACCTAAATTTATTGGTTAATTTTGGGGGTTTTTTTTTTTTTTTGAGACAGTGTCTTACTGTGTTGTTCAGACTGGCCTTGAACTCACTATGTAGCCTACACTGGTCTTGAACCCATAGTAATCCTCCTGCCTCAGCCTCCTAAGTGCTGAGATTACAGGGGTGCATTACCATGCCCAGTTCCACATAAATTTTAGAATTAACTTGTCATTGTTAACAAAAATGCCTTAGGATCAAATTAGATTTATAAGTAAAGTTTGAGAGAATTAACATCTTAATATTAAACCTTTCAAACCCACACATTGTGTCTTGATTTAATTTTTCTCTGCATAGTTTTAAAATTTTGATGGTAGTATCTGTATCGCTTTCTCTTTTTTAGGTCTTTACTTATATATTCTTTACAAAAGATGGCCTAATTAGATCAGATTGCAAGCCACCACTACTGTACCAACTCCTATACTAATTCCCTCCCGTTTTCATTTTTCTCCTTAGCACGAATCACCTTCCTCATAGTGTTGACATTCACATCTAGAAAAGAAGTTCCAGTCAGGGCGTGTCTACCTTGTTTTCTGTCCCCAAGCCATGGCCTAGTACTCAGCACATAATAGGTGCTTTAAGTACATCTGAATAAAGAATCAGTTCTCCTGTGGCTGTCACCTCTGAACGCATTACCCTTTGTCCACAGATTCTGTACAACCGCACCATGGTGCAGCTGGGCATCTGTGCCTTCCGCCAAGGCCTGACCAAGGATGCACACAATGCCCTGTTGGACATCCAGTCAAGTGGCCGGGCCAAGGAGCTTCTGGGCCAAGGTCTGCTGCTGCGCAGCCTGCAGGAGCGCAACCAGGAGCAGGAGAAGGTGGAGCGGCGCCGGCAGGTGCCCTTCCACCTACACATCAACCTGGAGCTGCTGGAGTGCGTGTACCTGGTGTCTGCCATGCTCTTGGAGATCCCCTACATGGCCGCCCACGAGAGCGATGCCCGCCGACGCATGATCAGCAAGCAGTTCCATCACCAGCTGCGGGTGGGTGAGCGCCAGCCCTTGCTAGGTAAGTGTGGGGTGAGTGCAGCGCGCTTCCTTGCTCTTTGACCGCTGAGCTACAGTCCTGACCCTTTTTATTTTGAGACAGGCCTTTGCTAAGTTATCCACGCAGGACTTGACTTTGGAATTTCCTGCCTCTGCCTCACAGATAACCAGGAGGCAGGATTATAGGCGTGTGCCACGGCACCCTTCCTGCGCAGTTGGTGTGTGGCAGGCCCTGAGTGAGCCAGGCTTGCTGTCTGGTCTGTGCCCTCACACATTTGCCTTTTACGCTTGTGTGTGTGGTCGTGCTCAGGTGCAGGTGCCCCATAGGCGGATTTTGTGGAGCTTACGTAGGGATGATTTAGAGGGAAACACCTAGTGAAGATCGGAATTTTTACCGTCTTAGCGTTTTTGGTAGCTCTGCCAGGCCTGGTCTGCCTTCTCACAAAGAGCTGGCTTTGGCGAGAGCTAAAGAAGCAGCTGGCAGGAAGGAAGTGTTAAATGGAAGCTAATCAGAGAGGGTCACACGTTCCCTCTTACATTTAGTCCTCTTCCTGCGTTTCTGTTTGAGTCTGACGCATACACATTTGAGCTTGCGAAGCCTGTGCTGGTGTCTGCCGTGTTCAAGGACGCCGCGCATTCGCAGTCTCACAGCTTTTACAGTCGCTCCTGAATCCCAGGCACTCTTGCTGGCCGTGTTCCTCGGTTGTCTGTCAGGATGGGACTTGGGGGCCCAGATCCGTGATCAGCATGTCCAACCTATGATTTTACATAGGTAGTTTAGATTGAGGCTTTAAAAATTTTTTTTCAAAGGATAATAAATGAATTACTCTCAAGAATAATACTAAGTATGTGGATCTATTAGAAGTCATAGCCAGGCATGGTGGCACATGCCTGTAATCCCAGCACTGGGGAGGCTGAGGCAGGAGGATCTTTGCGAGTTCAAGGCCAGCCTGAACTGCATAGCGAGACCCTGTCTTAAAAAGACAAAAAAAAAGAAGTCATAAAGACAATGGAGTGAAGTTTGATAAATACCGTTGTAGTCAAGATGGTAGACTTGTTATTTTAGGCCAAAGAACCTGTGAGTATCTGGTGAAGGCTATGAATTCTTTTCTCAGGAACGTGCACATGAGGTTAGGCACACAACTATGGCAGGATTCCGGAAGCACACCTATGGGCCGGTTCAGTCCAGGCCTAAGTAAACGTATTCAGATACTAAGTGATTAGTATAATCCCTTGGGTATTTAGTGGGAGCTGGGAGAGTCAAGCCTAGGTGTTCACCCTTCTGACCTGTGTCCTTAAACAGTGCTTCTGGGGCGCTGTGCCACCGAGCCACATCCTCAGCCTCACGGTGCTCTGGGCCCTGTCTCATTCCCAACCCTCTCAGGTCCCCCCGAGTCCATGAGGGAACATGTGGTTGCGGCCTCCAAGGCCATGAAGATGGGCGATTGGAAGACCTGCCACAGCTTCATCATTAATGAGAAGATGAACGGGAAGGTGTGGGATCTTTTCCCCGAGGCCGACAAAGTCCGCACCATGCTGGTTAGGTGAGCAGAGCGGGGCCGCAGTCGGTGGGGGCGGAGGGGCTGGTTGGCCTCCTCTCCTGAGGCGCCCCCTTCCCTGTCCCACAGGAAGATCCAGGAAGAGTCCCTGAGGACCTACCTCTTCACCTACAGCAGCGTCTACGACTCCATCAGGTCAGGCGGGCCCCGGGGAAGCAGAGGGCCCTGTTTGTGGTCAGGGGTCCTCACTGGCTCCTGCCGCCTTCCTCCCCAGCATGGAGACGCTGTCAGACATGTTCGAGCTGGATTTGCCCACGGTGCACTCCATCATCAGCAAGATGATCATTAACGAGGAGCTGATGGTAAGGGGGTGGTGAAAGGGAGGGGGAGTCGGGCGACAGGATTGCAGGGCCCGCTCGCCACGTCCCCCCTCTGCCTCGGCCCCGGCAGGCCTCCCTAGACCAGCCCACGCAGACCGTGGTGATGCACCGCACGGAGCCCACCGCCCAGCAGAACCTGGCTCTGCAGCTGGCCGAGAAGCTGGGCAGCCTGGTGGAGAATAACGAGCGGGTGTTTGACCACAAGCAGGGCACCTATGGCGGCTACTTCCGAGGTGAGTGGGTTTATTCTCGCTGTCCAGGGTCCTGACCCCTCTGCCTCTCCCCTGGCCTTCACACCCTCCCCTTCCTTCCCACAGACCAGAAGGATGGCTACCGCAAAAACGAGGGTTACATGCGCCGTGGTGGCTACCGCCAGCAGCAGTCTCAGACGGCCTACTGAGCGCCCCACGTCTGTCCGCGGGGTCCGGACCCCGCGGCCTTTCTGTCAGGACCCCCACTGTCAATAAAGGTCTGTTCAGAGTTGTTACAGTTTCTGATTGTCTTCTGGTACCACGAAGGTGCGTTGGACTCATTCATAATTAACTGTATTTCTGAGCTTCTACCACATCCAGGCACAAGGCTGAGGACGCTGGATGAATTATATATATTGCTGAGTTCATAAAGCTTGCTACTCTGATATTTAACAGAATACTGTAGTAATTTGATAAATTACAATGGTCATGAATAGGATATCATAGAGGGTTGTAATACCAGGAAGCCATCATGAAGGCAGTAGAGATGGCTGGACCTTCAGTGAGGAAGGAACCACCGTTCCCAGGCAGGGAGGAGAGTTAGTCAAGATCACTGGGGATGTGTCCTCTGGGGACCAGCTGCATCTGCTGTTACCTGTCGTGACAAAATTGATCTTGTAATTAGGAGTAAGCATTGAGAGCCACACCTGCAACCCCAGCACTTTGAGAGGCTGAGGCAGGAGGATCATGACTTTGAGCCCAGCCTACGCAATTTAGCAAGACGCCATCTCAAAAATAATAAAGAGAACCCGGGATGTAACTCAGTGTAAAGGTTCTGGATTCAGTCCCCAGTAAGCGGGGAGGGGCTGAGTACTGAGAAACGGCTGTTGCTGTGGCTTCTAAACCTATGATCATTTTCCTAATAATTTGTGTAATTCTTATTTATTGTATTTTGTAAAAATACTGGTCCGCTGTAGACCTCTTGGAAGAGGTAGCTCGCTTCCACATTTGAGAAGCACTGTTGCAGCTGTGAGACTGAGCATGTGAGTGGGGTGGGTTAGGTGCAGAAGCGGCTTGGAAGCTTGGCAGGGCCCTGGAAGTCCTCACTGGAGGATAAACAGTAAAAGGGTTGTTAGCAGGAAATAGATAGGGTCTTCTGTGTGTGCAGGAATGCAAGAGCAGCACGTATGCGTGGGCTCCCAATAGGGTTTTTTTGTTTTGTTTTATTTTACAAGTTTTAAATTTGAGGTGGAGCTGGGCGTGGTGGCGCACGCCTGTAATCCCAGCACTCAGGAGGCTGAGGCAGGAGGATAGATGCAAGTTCGAGACTGGCCTGGGCTACAAAGTAAGCTCAAGTCCAGCCTGAACTGCATAGCAAGTCCCTGTCTCAAAAAGTAAATAAATAAAAATAAATTTGAGGTGGCTTTGGGACAAATGAGACAGTTGTAGGTAAGTGTGTGGGGCATGTGTTAATTCAACTATAGGCTAAGCGGCTGTAACAAACTCTAAAACAGCGATTCAAACAAAATAGTTTCTCATGTGTCAGTTGAGATGTAGACAGGTGGTCCAGGCTGGGGGTGAGATGACAGCTCTGTAAGAGATCATGTGGAGATCCAACACCCACTGCTGTGTTGCTGCACGAGCCCCTCGTCCCTGTTTAAACCCAGGGGAGGGGAAGCAGCAGCCTGGAAATTATACTGATCTCGTCATGCAAAACTTTCTAAAAACGCCTCTGACTAGATAGCTGTGTTCATTTCCATTTAGCATTTTCTTAGTTACGGTTACTAATCTAACCCAGCAGGGGAAGAACAATTGTTTGGGGTTTTTTGGTGTTCTTGTTTGCAGTGCTAGGGTCCATCTCAGACCTCACACTGGCAAGCACTGTACCGCTGAGCCGCATCCCCAGCTTCAGACATGAAGGTTTTGAAATGGGTTACGTATGAATGGTTTTCCAGACTTAGCAGGGAGTAATATCAGAGTCAGCGTTATTGGCTGCTTACATACTGGTGTTTTACAGGCTTTATCTTGTTTAATCTCAGGGTAGTCCTGTTGTCATTCCGGTTACATAGAGAGGGACACAAGCCTGAAGAAGCTCAGGGATTTGCCTGAGGTCCAACAACTCAGAAATAAGCATGCTGGATGTACACACCAGATAGCCGATCACCCGGCCGTGTAACAGTTGTCCTTAGGGCTGTTCAGGATTTTGGGGTGAGCAGCAGAGTGGAGGAAAAGGCTAAGGACTGAACTCGGATGTGACTGGCAGGTGAAGAGGCCGCCAGTAGGTGGGGTGGTTAAGGAGGTGGGAGAGTCAAGCAGGAGGGTGATGGAAAGGCCAAGAGCTTTTGCATCTCAGGGCTGGGCTCCCTTACGCCAAACTTGGCCAGTTTAGCATCCTTGGGCGGGGGCAGAGCCATTTTATTACCCGACCTTATAGGGTACCCCTTGTTTTCCAACCTACAGTGATGACCTTTGTATTTAGTTAGTTAGTTAGTTAGTTTTTTGAGGCGGGGTCTTGCTGTGCACTTCAGGCTGGCCTTGAGCTCACTTTGTAGCTCAGGCTGGTCTTGAACTCACAGCGATCCTCCTGCCTCAGCCTCCCGAGTGCTACATGCGCCACCATGCCCAGCTAATGATGACCTTTGAACACTGTTGTGAAAACCTGTCCTGTCCAGGCTGGAGTGTGTTTTAAGCCATGTATGCCACATATGAACTGTCAGATACTCCTTTTTAACAACTCTTCAGAAATTCAAAACTCCACTGGGCACGGTGACACATGCCTCTAATCCCAGCACTTGGGAGGCTGAGGCAGGAGGATCATTGTGAGTTCAAGACCAGCCTGAGCTACAAAGTGAGCTCAAGGCCAGCCTGAACAGAAGAGCGAGACCCTGCCTTAAAAAGAGGGAAAAAAAAAGGTCAAAGATCTGAACAAATGCTTTATTGAAGACTTACTAATGGCCAGTTAGCACCATGGGAAGTTTCACATTATTAGTAATTAGAGAAGTTCGAGTTACAACCACAGCAAGATCCTCATACACACCTATTACAGTGTCTTTTTTTTTTTGGTACTGGGAACCGAACTCAGGACCTCGTGCTTGCCAGGCGGGTGCTGCACTGCTGAGCTCTATCCACAGCCCCTAGAATGTCTTGAGTTAAAATGACCACTCCAGGGTTGGTGAGGGTGTGGAGACCTCGGGTCACCTCCCCACGGTCAGCGAGTGTAAAGCGGTGCAGCCATTGGGAAAGCAGTTCTGTTCTTTCTTAAGTTAAATATGCAGCTACCCGACGGGCGGGTGGGGAGCGTTGAGGACACCTGCACGCGGTATCTGACTCACGCACCGCCCTTCCTGGGGCTGGCAGCAGCCCTGCGGATCCTGGTGCGGGAGGGGCGGGGCCAGAGCCCAGTGTGTTTCCTCTTCTGCCCCTTATGTGCTCGTGATGGCGCAGATCTCTGCCAGCCTCCCCAGGTGTCACTTTCTTCAGGACTATGGCTGCATTCCTGGCACACCCTAAGATTTAACACAGTCTGTCAAAGTGTGATCTATAAACAGCAAAAAGCTGTTTAAGAATTTGACGTAACTCTGAGTAGGTGGTGCTCACCTGTTGTCCAGGTGCTCAGGAGCTGAGGCAAGAAGATCACTTGAGCCTTAGCGTTCAAAGATGGCCTGGGCAACACAGCACGTCCCCATTTCAAACAAACAAACAAGGGCTGGAGCTGGAGCTCTGTGGTGGAGCGCTTCCCTAGCATACATGAGGAATCAGCAGCAGTGCAAAAAAAAAGTGTAGAGCTGGGTGCAGTGGCCCACACCTGTAATCCCAGCACTCAGGAGACTGAGGCTGAGGGTTGAAGCCAGGTGCAGGGATGCACACCTGTAGCCCCAGAACTCGAAGCCGAGGCAGAAGTTCCAGCCTAGTCTGGGCAATTTAGCAACTTAATGACGTCACATCTCAAAATAAAAAATAAAGAGGGGCTGGAGCTGGGCGTGGTGGCGCACACCTATAATCCCAGCATTCAGGAGGCTGAGGCAGGAGGATTGCGATGAGTTTGAGGCCAGCCTGCACTAAGTTGCAAGCCTCCACCTGCACTGAGGCCAGACCCTGGGGTGAGGGGATGTGGGTGTGACTGGAAGGGACCCGCCATCTTGACTTGTGACAGGTGCAGTAGCCCAGAATGTGCAACCCGAGTGACACATCAAAGGAAAACTTTTCTGACTACAAATCAGTTTTCTCGTCATAGCAAACTCGGACAGTATTAGAAAATATAGAGCCAGAATTCTTTCCTCTTTTTGAGACAGGGTCTCGCCATGGTGTTCAGGCTGGCCTTGAGCTCACTTCGTGGCCCAGGCTGGTCTCAAACTCGCAGTAATTGTCCTGCCTCAGCCTCCCAAATGCTGGGATTACAGGCGTGCGTCGCCACCACCCCCAGCAATGGAGCCATTTTTCAAAACTAGCCAATTCATAGCTTGGGGGCGGGGCGCTGGCCAGAAAGACAAGATTTAAAGCACAACCTTGGCTTTCAAATTCAAGCTCCTTAGAAGCTGCTGCCCTTGGGCAAATGCCTTCCCCTCTGTGAGCCTCAGCTGCTTCTGTAAAAGAGAACAATCACATCTCCACTGGGGTTGCTGTGTGATAGAAATGAGATTGCCTCGGCCTCAGCCCAGCCGGGGCACCTGTGAAGGCTTACTATCACAGTCTGCTTCCTCACATCTTGAAGGGGGTCAGATGACGTCTGGCCCAAGGTGGAGGCCCTTGTTGGAGGGAGGTGATTCTGTGAGGACCGTCATTTGCCAGTTACATTCATAGGCATTTAGAGGGCCATTACCCAGGTTTGGTGGCACACACCTGTAGTCCCAGCACCGAGGGAGCCTGGGGCGGGAGGATGGCAAATTCAAGCCCCAGCCAGGCAATCTAGCAAGATTGTCTGGAAATCAAAACTAAAAAGGGCTGGAGACGTAGCTCACTGAGACGGCCCTTCCTTCCGTTCCCTGTGCCAAGCCCCGGGTGAGAAGATGCAGGGTGTGAGCGGGGCATGGTGGCGCACGCCTGTAATCCCAGCACTCGGGAGGCTGAGGCAGGAGGATCATTGTGAGTTCAAGACCAGCCTGAGCTACAAAGTGAGCTCAAGGCCAGCCTGAACAGAAGAGGGAGACCCTGTCTCAAAAACACCAAAAAAAAAAAAAAAAAAAAAGAAGATGCTGTGTGTAACTGCTGCTGAGCACATTGTGGCCACACCCACCAACGGGCACAGTCTCCGGAGCATTTCAGGGTGGGCCCCAGGCTTCCCGGGAATGCTCCTTCCCTGACCTGCTTCCCCCAGAATCTTCCCTCCCAGACCTCAGGCCCCTCGCCTCTCAAATGAATGGGATCGTTTTCATAGGATGGAAGCCAAACTTGTTCCAGTGTCTCCTGTGTTCAACTGAAATTACTCAATTTTTTAAAATTTTAAGGCCAGGCGTAGTGGCACACGCCTGTAATCCCAGCACTCAGGAGGCTGAGGCAGGAGGACTGTCATGAATCCCAAGGCCAGCCTGAATCACAGAGCAAAAAGTCTCAAAAACCAAACCAAAACAAAACAAAATATTGAGGTAAAATAACAAAAAAATTATTTTAAAATGAACAACTCAGTGGCATTTTGCATATTCACAGTGTTGCGCAGTTATCGCCTCTACCTCCTTTTGCAACATTCCCGTCATTCCAAAGTGAAGCTTCAGCTGAGCATGCTGGCACATGCTCAGAATCCCAGCCCTCAGGAGGCTGAGGCAGGAGGATTGCTGTGAGTTCAAGAATAGCTTGAACTACACAGCCAGACCCTGTCTCAAAAACTAGAAAGAAAAAGAAAAAGTAAAACTTACTCAGTGTATCATAATCACCAGTCTCCCTTCTGTCTCATAGATCTCTCTGTCCTGGATAATTCATGTAAGTGGAATAACTGTAGTATAGTAGTGACATTTTGTGTCTGGATTTTTTCATTTAGCTTGCTGTGGAGTTTCATCTATATTATAGCTCCTATCACTATTTCATTTTTATGGTTGAACATTATTCCACGGTACCGGTATACTGCAGTTTTCATTTTGTTTTGTTTTGGTTTCTTTGGTATTGGAATCAAACTCGTGGCCTTGCATTTGCCAGGCCGGCACTGTGCTGCTGAGCTATATCCCTGGCCCACAATTTTCTTATCAGTTCATTCATCAATAAATGTTTGAGCTGCCGGGAACAGTGGCACACACCTGTAATCCCAGCACTTGGGAGGCTGAGGCAGGAGGATCTTTGTGAGTCCGAGACCATCCTGGGCTACAAAGTGAGCTGAAGGCCAGCCTGAACTCATAATAAGACCCTGTCTCAAAAAGACAAAAAAAAAAAAAGTTTGATGTTGTTTAACTTTACCCACTATCTCTTTATTCTCACCAAAATTGCATGTGTGTATGTGCACGCGCTGGGGATCAAACCCATGCTGGGAGGCTGAGGCAGGAGGATTGCAAAGTTTGAGCCCAGCCTGGGCAATTTAGTGAGGCTCTGTCTCAAAATAAAAAACAAAAAAGGGCCGTGTGTGGTGGCACACACCTCTAATCCCAGCACTCAGGAGGCTGAGACAAGTGGATTGTCCCGAGTTCAAGACCAGCCTGGGCTACAAAATAAGCTCAAGGCCAGCCTGAACTGCATAGTGAAACCCTGTCTCAAAAAAGACCAAAAAAAAAAAAACCAAACAAATAAACAAAGAAAGTCTGGAGATATAGCTCAGTGCAAAAGCCCTGGGTTCAATTCTCAGGGCCAAGAAAAAAAAAAAAAAAGAGGACAAGAAAAACAGTCTCAAAATGTTCAAGTGACTAGCCCAGGGTTCTCAGGGCGCTGGTAGGGATTACAGTAGGCGGGTCCTAGGGCTTCTCAGACCGCGGGGGTCTCCTCATAGCAAGCAGGCCAAATGCGGCACGTCTGATCCTAACCGGTTAGCCACGAACTGCTTCTCAGTCTCCCCCGTCCCTGTCGCTGGTTAGTTTGCCCTGATGCAGTTCCTGCTGTATTGCACCACGGTCAGGCCGTAGGGCAGGGGCCGGATGCCCCGGGCTCACCCCCACATTCTCGGTGCCTACAAAGGTCAGGGGAGGTGAAATAGGCAGTTAGAGTCAGACCTGGGGGCGGGAGCCCGCATGTCAGCAATCTGAGAAGCTGAGCGAGAGATGGCAGAGTTCAAGGCCAGCCTGGGCTCCACCGAAATTTAGAGACGACTACTTCTCAAACACTTCAGTGAAATTGAAAGGGAAGCAGTACTCCCAAATTCATTCCTGGAAGCAAGTATTACTCTGATACCAAAACCAGAGAAGGAGCCAAC